GGATCTTTGCTGTGGAGGGATGGCGTGGTGCTTCTGCCTAGAGCGCCATTTTGCCAGAACTAATGTTAGATTTCTTAATTGAATCCTATATTATTTGCTTTTGGGTTTGTTGCTTCTCTTGTTTCTCTCAAGTCTGGGTAAGTTCAGTTATTTTGTCTTCTAACACACTTATCTATCTTCTGTCTGTTTGACTCTATTGAGTGTTTCTCTTGCTTTTTCTAATTCAGTTGTTTCATTCTTCGGTTCAAGTAGTTCTCTTTGTTTTTTTATTATTATTTTTTCAATTTTCATGTTGAGTCTCTCATTTTGTTCCTTCATTTTTTTCCTAATCTCTTCTAGTTTGTTTTCTGTGTGCTTTTTGCTATCTTTAAACATATTTAGCACCGTAGTCTGAAAATTATCAATTCTTTTCATTATTCTGGCCTCCATAGGAGAAATTTCCACTTCTTTATATTTTGCTTTTGATTGGTCCCTCTTCTCTTGTGATTTTGTGTATTTTACTATATTTTTGTGGAACTTAGGCCATTTTTTAATTTTTTTTCTTTAAATTTTATATTCTGGTTATTGTGGAAATGTTTTCTGGTTGGACACCCTGGTGGTGCAGGAGCCAAGCATCCAGCTGCCAATTGAAAGGTCAAGGCTTGCACACACAAGCCACTTTGCAGGAGAAAGATGTGGCAGCCCACCTCCACAAAGACTCACAGCCCTGGGAACACCATCGGGCACACTACAGGGTTGTTATGAGTCAGAATCAACCCAGAAGCAGCAGGCTTTGTATCTTTTCCTGAGAACCACTACAGGGCACTCCTTTTTTTTTTAGAACTGTACTTTAGATGAAGGTTTACAGAAGAAACTAGTTTCTCATTAACCAGTACATGTATTGTTTTATGACATTGGTTAACAACCCCACAACATGTGAACGCTCTCCCTTCTCGACGTTGTGTTCCCTATTACCAGTTATCCTGTCCCCTCCTGCCTTCTAGTCCTTGCCTGTGGGCTGGTGTGCCCCTTTAGTCTCGTTTTGCTTTATGGGCCTGTATAATCTTTGGCTAGAGGGTGAACCTCAGGAGTGACTTCATTACTGATCACTTACTGGCCTTTTTTGTATAGAGGGCACTCTTATCATTAGGTTTTTTTCAGTGCTGATTCAGGAGTTCTGGATGCTTGATTTCTGGACTTTAGTATGCATGTGTTGGTCGGGGGAGGGTTAGCTGATTGTAGACACTGATGTAACTGGTGGGGCTCAACTTAGCTGTGGCGAAGATATGGTACTCTCTATGTCTTTCCCTCATGAGCGCCCCTCCACAGGCTCACCCACAGTGTCCATTTGTCTCCCTGTCAGACTGAAGTGTTCCTCTTGCCCTGCTGCCCTTGGGGTTCCTCCCGGTCCCAGTGTCCGTACGTCTGGGGCCTCAGCAAGATTCAACAGCACTCTCTTGCAGTGCCACAGTCTCCTTTGCCTCCTCCCCACTACATAGCCCACAAACTCCCATGGCCGATTTGTGCCTCCGTAAAAATATCGGGCTACAGCTTCCTCAGTTTAGCTCCTTTTCCATGTTCCCTGTTTAGGGTGTTACTGAGCCCTGTCCCAAAATGGCTGTTATGAGCAAGCACTCCCAGTGTTAGAGGGTAGTTTCTCCCAGCTTTTGTGCCATCCTTGCTCCTCCTCTCCCCCGCATGTGGACTAACCCCGACTCTCCAACCTCTCCAATGCCTCAGCTGCTGTCTGGAATTCTGTGATCTCAGTCTGTGCTTTTTATTTGTTATTCAGTGGGTTAGTTGTTGGGGGAGTAAATGGGAGCCTGTACTCACTTTGCCATCTTTCTCCGGCTCTGCAATCTTTACTTTTTTAAGCTGAACTGTTGCTTAGTTCAAAGATGACATCAGAGGATCAAATCAAGGTTTGAAGAGTAACTCAAGGCCATAGTCTTGGGACCTCTTCTGGCCATCCCTTGCTAAAACTTTTACTGAAACTGTAGAGAAGAAAAAAAAAAAAAAAAACTATATGTAAATGCACGTTGTTCTGCAGCAGTTGTTAATCCCAGTCTAGGAACTATCTCCTGGTTCTTTCTGCATATAATTCCAACTTGAATAGATTGAAACAAACAAACAAAACCAAAATAAAATTATTTTCTAAATCTAACATAAGCAGTAACATAGGATTAAGTACTCATCCCTTTTAAAGTATGCAAAGTTTCAATCTTCAGGGTAAACTAATTAGGTTTAGTCTTCATTTGGAAGCTTTGAAGATGGTGAGTTATTTTTTAAATAGGCAGGATCAAATTAGGCAGTTTTGCTATTGTGGGAAATCTAGCACTCAGGGATAATTGTTACCCTCAAAGTAGATTACCCTGGAGACCAGGGATCAGGTGTAACCAAGTAAACAACAATCAGCCTCGAGCCAATCAAGAGCCCATAAATCTCAGCCCCACAAGGAAGGAAGAGCTGCTGATGCCTTTGTGGCTAAAATAAAGAAGGATTTTAGATATATTAATTCACTTAATCTTCATAACGACCCTAGGAGACATTATCATGCCCATTTTACAGATAAGGAAACCGAGACACAAAGAGATTAAATAATGTGCCCTGGAATTTTAAGCCAGGAATTCTTGGCTCCAGTGTCTCTGTTCTTACCCACTAAGCTATGCTTCTTCTCAATATGTAAAGGAGGTGGGAACTTATAAATCAATTTAACTGGACTAACCATGACATGAAAGTATGAAAATAAAGTTGCATTAGTGGAAACTGCTTATCTGCCCTTACTTTCTGGGATAGTTTCAATTTAAAGTGATTTCATGTTTCAGTAAAGGTTGTTGTTATTAGGTGCCATCGAGTCAGTTCCGACTCCTAGCGACCCTATGTACAACAGAACAAAACACTGTCTGGTCCTGCAGCATCCTCACAATCATTGCTATGTTTGAACCCATTGTTGAAGCCAAGCATTTTGTCCTTCTCCAAGGACTGGTCCCTCCTGATAACATGCCAAAGCACGTGAGACCAAGTCTTGCCATCCTTGCTTCTAAGGAGCATTCTGGCTTTACTTCTTCCAAAACAGATTTGTTCATTTTTCTGGCAGTCCATGGTATTTTCAATATTCTTTGCCAGTACCATAATTCAAAGACATCAACTCTGCTTTAGTCTTCCTTGTTCATTGCTTAACTTTCCCATGCATATGAGGTGATTGAAAATACCATCGCTTGTGTCAGGTGCACTTTAGTCCTCAAAGTGACATCTTTGCTTTTTAACACTTTGAAACGGTCTCTTGCAGCAGATTTGCCTAATGCAATATGTCATTTGATTTCTTGATTGCTGCTTCTATGGGCTCAATAAAGGTAAATTAGGTAAATAAAACAATGTAATTTACTCCTTTAAAGCCAAGTGTAGTATTGTGATGAAAAGCATAAATTTCCCTGACTTTCCCAGCTGTCTGACCCTGGGTTTACTTAGCGGCTCTGCAGCTCAATTTTTTTATTTACTAAAAAGTAGAATAATGGTACTACTTCACAAGACTGTTGAGTATTAAATGAGATAAAGCAGGCAAAGTATTTAAAAGTGCTTACTAAATGTAAGCATGAGGAAGGCAGATGTGTTTTTTTAAGGAGCTTACTATCTGGAAGAAAAAAACATTAAACAAATAATCAAAAGTGTTGCCTATGTCTGAAAAAGGAAGTTTAACTGTTCTTGACCAGGTGAAATGAGTGGTAAAGACACAAAACAGGGTGCATATTGGAGTGATACACATTAGGGTTGCAAGTGTTAATTTCTGCACCCAAGGCCCTCATTCCTAAAGAAGTAGGGTGTGAGTTGAGATTCATTCTGTGGTCTCTTGTCAGTGGGAAGATAACCTCTCCCTTCCTCCGAACAAACCAAACCCACTGCCATGGAGTCAGTTCCAACTCACAGCAACTCTATAGGGCAGAGCAGAACTGCCCCATAGGGTTTTCTAAGGCTGTAAATCTTTATGGAAACAGAAGGCCACATCTTTCTCCCATGGAGCAGCTGACAGGTTTGAACCACAGGCCTTTAGGTTAGCACCCCAGGGCTCCTTCTCCCTTCCTAAACCCGTTCAAAACCAAACCCGTTGCAGTCAAGTTGATTTCGACTCATAGTAACCCTACAGAACAGAGTAGAACTGCCCCAGGATTCGCAGGAACTGCCTATCCTCTTGCTTAGCAGCAGAGCTTTTAACCGGGCAAGCAAATTCGGGGCACCCACGTGGTTACAAGTAAACTCAAGTCTCAACCTCAGTTCCGTTTACCCACGCCCCTTTTATTTTGGGCTCGCCTCTTGCTTCCATCAGCGCTTCGTAAGCAAAGGGAATATCGCGAGAGTCCCCTTCTGACGTTTTTCAATGCTCGTGGTCCTCTTTGGTTCTCGCGATATTTCTGGGTACACGGGAGCCCGGGCGACCCGGGCTTCTGTGAAACATGGCGGCCGGTTGAGGCTGTAACACAAGGTAAAATACTGGAACCCCGCCGGGTGCTGTTTCCTAGGTTTTTCCAGGGCTGTTGAGGGCGTGAATACGGTTAAGAGGCTAAGCGCCTGACATGGGGTTGGCTATTTGTCTTCATCGCTCTTCTCTGGACAGAGGACCCGGCGGAGGAGCCGCTCCACCTCTACCGGGGGCGTTACTGGCAGGACCCTGGGCAGTGCTGCGACCGGGGGATCCAGTCTCCCAGATTCGTGTGGCTTTGCGCTGTCTTTTAACTCGATTTCGAGTTCAGGTGCTTTCTTGCTGGGCACTGACCCTGACCCACTGCTTCTCACGGTGCTCGGGTGTCCCGGTGGCTCCTCTCGTTCCCAGGCGAAGAGGGTCCCGCGTTGTGAAGACCAGCTGGGTAGTGTTCTGGTCCTCTCTAGTGTCTGGCTCCCCACCCCCCATTCAGACAAATGCCACATTTTTGGCAGCACATTGCTCTCTCTCTCTTTAAGAAAGAACGCGAATTTGCCCTCGCCTCAAAGGAGAGTTTCGCACACCGCTTGGGAAAATACAGGGGTAAGACCGAGTGCGATGCTAGAAAAGACCGGACCGCGTGTCAGTACTTTTTTTAGCGCAGGAAGCACTGGGAAGATACACGTCAACTCTTGGTGGGTTAGCCTTCGGTATCAGTAGTAAATAGAGTTGATATGTCATTGTTTGAGACAACACGTTTAAATAACTTTTATATTTAGGATTTAGTGCCGTCGAGATTTAAGGCAGAGTTACATAATATTTGTTGAAATGTTGCAAGACTGGCTTTCAGAAGCATTTAAAGTTACAATTAAAAACAGAATCTACTTATGTGTTTGATGTCGTATTTCAGTATTTCAAGTAATCGCCTAGCCTTCAGCATCGAACTGTGGTATATACACCCATTCTAAAGGTTTATTCACGAAAGGACGTATGGTTATTTACCTAATTTGTTTATTGATATATTAAATTAATTTGATTATTCCAGTTCTCTTAGAGGAAAAATGTTTGAACTAGAAATTCCATGGTTTCAGTGGTGGGGAACAACTTTTATCTTTTGATAGCAGACTTTAGTGTACAACTGAGTCTTGCGTCGTGGTACAACTCATAAAAAAATGTGTCAAGTTTGAAAGATCTCTCAAAGGAAATCAGGTCTAGTCTGGGGTGGAAGAGGGAAGGTGAACTACCAAAAAATTGTTTTCTTTGAGGGTTCGTGATTTAAATGGAAGAGATATGGTGAAACTCATTTATAGCAGTTACTCTTAGGCAATCTTTGCCAGCGACAAATCCTATTTAACAGTTTTCCAGTATTTGTTCTGAGTCTGCCCCTTACTGTGATGGTGAGCAAATTATTTGACCTCTGTGCCCAGTTCAGATTGCCTGGATGGTGATTGCGCTTGACTGTAATTGTGCTTGGCTGCTAACCGAAAAGTTAGAGGGTTGAGTCCACCCAGAGGAGCCTCGGAAGAAAGGCCTGGTGCTCTACTTCTGAAAAATCAGCCTTTGAAAACTGTATGGAGCACAGTTCTACTCTGACACACATGGGGTCACCATGAGTCAGAGTTGGCATCACTAGAGACAAGTGGGTCTGAGTCTGGGTGCCTAATTTGTCCTCTCTGTTTCTTTCCTCTCTGTAAAATGGAAATAATACCAGCTCGTAGGGTGTTTGTGAGAATTACAACACACTAAGAGCAATATTAGGCATAGAGTGAGCACTCATTAAATGCTAGCTCTGGTTAATATTTTTTACTTTATTTTTACTCACAAAAGGTTGCTTTGGGACTTAGGCAAAATATAGACTGAACAAAATACCTTGTAAAATTGCTTATTTCTGTCCCCAGAATTGATTAAACATTCCCCTTTCTTTATGGATAATATGCCGTTATACTCCATCTTCAATTGCTTCCTTTCTTACTCTTTTATTCTCTCTTAATTACTAAAACACGAAATCCTCGCTTCTACTACTCTCCCATCTTGTCTTATTGGAGTAGGTCAGCTCTACTTACTTCTCTAGCTGCTTTGTTATCCCATTCTTTTTGCTTTTGGGAACATTCATTCTACTGTAAATGTATTTCATGTATCCTTGACCTTTTCCTCACACATGCCTTATACTTCTTTTAATTTTGTACACTTTTGAAGAATAGCTACTATAGTCAACACATTCTTCGAGGACAATTGTACCTGTCTTTGTTCACATTGCTACTAGGTACTTCTGGAGTGTTGTGTTGTCTTTACTGTATAGTCTCTTCTTCTGAAGTTTATTCTGTCAGTTTATACCATCCTCACTCTGTCCACGAGATAATCAACTAACCTCAGGTACACTTTCTGTCTCCGCAAATACTTTAACATCGAAATCTAAATATCCTACAAATCTTAGCATTTCTTTTGAGAATTAGAAACATTTATTAAAACAGTGCTTTGTTTTTATCTTGATTAAAAGTTGAGGTCCCTATTATATCCCCCCTCCTATTTTTAAAATAGAGGATTCTGAGAAGTTAAGGAGCTTTCCAAATTTGTCATATAGCTAGTAAGTGCCTAGAAAGAAACCCAAGTTTTCTGATCACAAAACTCACAATTATACCATCTTATTCAGCTTCCAAGTAAACCTTTTTATCACTTAGAAGGTTACTAGATTTATGTTGAGGGCAGTGTGGTTCAGTGGTAGAATTCTCACCTATTTGGGAGGCCTTAGTTCAATTCCTGGCCAGTGTACCTCAAGAGCAACCATGACTCATCTTTCACTGGAGGCTTGTGTGTTGCTATGATGCTGAGCAGGTTTCAGCACAGCTTCCAGCCTAAGACGGACTAGGAAGAAAGGCCTGGTGATCTGCTTCCAAAACTCAGCCTGTGAAAACCCTGTTGATCACAACAGTTTCATCCCCTTGTGTATGGGATCACCATGGGTTGAGGGCTGACTCAACAGCAGCTAACAGCAGCAATAGACATACTTTAACTATGTTAAGGTAAACTGAATTTTTGAATATGTAACATTTGACTCTTGTAAAAGGTCTAAGTTTTAAAACAAAAATAACTTTTTTTTGCACTTCTAGTGTTTGTAAAGTGAAACTAAGCTATCTTTCATAAAAAGTTTTCTATTGTAAAATGGTCTGATGCATTATGATGAAATAATTTAAAACTACAGATAAGTTGTAGTTTGACTTTTAGTTTCTGAAGTCCATCTATAGCCTGAATAATATTTTTTCTGTCTCCTTTCTCATTTTCATTAATGGCCATATATATCAACCAGTTAAAGTTCTCATATTGCCAGATATATATAAAAAACAGAAATTAACTCATAAAACTTGGGTAGCAGGAAATAAAATGTGTCTCCGTTGTTATTTGGAGAAGTAATAAAACCTAATTGAGCAGTCTGTAAAATGTGTCATGAAATCTATATTTTAATATCGGTAAAGCATCTGATAGTAGTATCATTATATTCCAGTGGGCACAATAATGAAATATAGGTTGTATGAAATTGCTTGGAGTATTGATTAATGTCTATCTGTGTTCCAGCATGAAAGGTGGTTTTCTTTTAAATGTAGTTTTTCAAAGCCTTATATTAATCTCAGTTATCATCAATGACTTCCTGAAATTTGTTTGTTTGTTTTTAAAACATGGAGCAGTTTATGAGAGAGAGTGAAGAAAACAGAGATATGGTACTGGAGATTTTCCAAGTATGAACAGCAGGACCAACCAACGCAACCCCTGCACAACCAGGAGTGTTAACATTTTAGATTTTGGCCAGTACCAAAAGAAAAGAAAAAAAAAAAACAGGGAAGGGGGCTAGACGTGAGGACTGACTTTGTAGCTTTTAATTTTTCTAAATTAGGATATCCCCAAACAAAAGAAAAATCCTGTTTACTATTTTTATCATCTTTTCATAAGAGAAAGGGCATTTGACACACAATAAAGGAAGGAAATAATATAAAGGATGGGTTTTTAAACTGAATATATGTAGCTTTTTAAAAATGTGCTACATTTTCCTTGGTTTTTTCATTTAGCTATAGAATAGAAAACTTTGTCTTAGAATGGTGTTGACTTCTGGGAATCACTTGTCAATGGTACTTTTAAATGCATTTTTGAAAATGGTTGACCACCTTGGATACAGAGGCAAGTAGGAATGAAAAGACTGGAATTAGAGAACTGGGAGGAGTCCAAGGGATTGAGATCCCAGTGAAAATGAAGAGCAGTTTCTGTGCTGCTCATATAATTGAAGAGCTTGAAGAGTAATGGGTTCTATTCAGGGAGGAAAATCAGTGTTTTAGATTTTAGAGGTAGAACAATTTTAGGAGATGAGAATCCACACCCGGCCTTGCTTGTGTTTGGCTTTGTGTAGAAATAAGATGAAGATCACCGGAGTAGAACTGTTAAACTTACATGGTAAAAGGGTTATCACTGTGAAGGAATGCCATAGGATAAGTGCCTTAGGATCATGAGTTTCAGAGGATGGTGATGCAGTGGGACAGAGGAGAGGCATATCGAATGATCCACGTGCTGAAGTCATTAATGAAATTATAAATATATTCAAATGTTAGTAGAAGATGGCCAGTAAGTACTAAAGTGAGATGCAGTGTGCCCCATGGTTTGGAGCATGGACTCTGCAGCGAAGCTACTTAGGATCAAAAACAGTTTCTACCAGTTGGTGTGTGATACTGAGAAAATAAGTTGACTGTTCTATTCCTCAGTTTCCTCATCTATAAAGATAATGTCAACTTCATGAAGTTGTTTAGGCGATTAAATGAATTCATATATATAAAGTGCTTAGAATAATACCTAGCACAAAATATGAAAGTTAGCTATAATTTTAACTGTCGTATGTGTGTTAGCTGTTATTATTATTAGGAGAAAGTAAACTTCAAAAGGGAAGAGATGGTTGAGAAATCAGGAAAAAACATGCTACTTCTTTACCATGTGATTCTCAAATGAAGTAAGGATTGGAAGGCAGAAGATCAGGTTTAATAAAGACAGGAAGTAGATGAATTGCTTTTAGGCAAACAAAATTATTTGATAAGTTGCTCATGTCAGAACAGTGGCATATAGAGTAGAATGACGATTAGTAGAGATGGAATGAGTTTCCTGGAGGTAAGTTAGTGCTGAGCTTACAGGAATGGGACAGGAGGAGTAGCAGAGTGGCAGGGTGCTTGGTTGTAGAATAGCAATCATGAAAAATAGGGATGAAGGATGCTGGGAGCTGGGAAATAGCCAGATGGAATATACTACCTAGACTTGCAAGGGAGGAGTGCTGAATAGGCCATGTGACATTGTTAGTTATAAAACTAGCTGCTTGTCATATCTTTACACTTAATATATAATTTAAAACAAGGCATTTACAAAGTTTCTTATAAAAATATAACAGCTTTGAGAGTAGAGTTCACTGTTCATTTGCTCAACAATGCTATACCTACTGTGTGCTAGCCACTGTTCTAGGTGATGGGGATACTGCAGTGTACAAAAGAGAAAAATCCTTCTCCTCGTGGATCTTATATTTGTGTATATTTACTTTGCCAAGTATGACAGTTTTTGTGAGTTTGAAAGCTGTGCTACCATGGATGTTCATGGATTTCCTTTCTTCCCTCCCTTTCTTCTTTCCCTCAGTAGATATTTATTATATACCTGCTGTGTCAGGCATTAGAGATATGATCAAGTCAGACATGGTTCTCACCCTAATAGTCCAATGACAAAATAAACAAGTAGTTAGAAATTGTGTGATAAGGTCAGTGGGTGTTCTAGGAGCACACAGATTTTGAGGGTCATGAGAAGTTTTTTTCTCTTGAGGGAGAGAAATCTAGGCTGGGACTAGAAGAATATGTAGGAGTTAGCCTAATGAAGAGGTGGGAAAAGGATTTCTGGCAGAGGGAACAGCATGTTTAAGGAATTGAAAGTGATTCAGTATGCCTGGAACTTAGATTTCGAGGAATTGAGTTTGAAGAGAGAGGTAAGCAGGTTCTGGTTCTTGGGCTTTGTAAACCATGTGGGATGGAGTCTAAACTCCTTCAAGTGCAAAGGGAAGCTAAGATTTTAAGAGAAAAGGTATATGATTCAGTCTATATATTAAAAAGATATTGGTTGTAGTACCGTGAGTGAATTGAAAGGTTGAAGATTGGAGGTTGTTGCAGCAATCCAGAGATTGATTGTGGCGGTAGGGACTAGGGTCCTAGTAAGGAACTTCTCAGTGGGCCTGGAGAAGAGAGGATAGACAGACTTGAGAGAAATTTAAGAAGAGCCTAAGTCTGAGGATATAAACCAGGTTTCTGGCTTGTGCAGCTGGATGCCTGGTGTCATCATTATTTAAGATGGGGCCCACAGGAGGAGAAACAGATTTGAGAGGGAAGAGGAAGTGTTCATTTTTAGACCTTTGAGTGTGAATTGTCCTTAAAATGTATTATTTTGTTTTAAAGATAAGAGGCTTGAACATACTTAATATTTAACTCCAGTGAGAAACAGTGAGTAGAAATTGAAAGATTGAAGAAGGGTCAATCTTGGTACGGTTACCACTAAGCAGATAACAGAAATTAAATTTACTTTGTCAGAGTTGAACAGACTAGGGGCCTGGTTTATGCGTAACACTCAGAAGCTTAATTTACAAATAAGAATACCAGTTTTATAACTGTCATGGGGATCACAATGCTGTCATCTATATTGTCTACATGTTTTTTTTCTTTAGGAAAACCATGTACGTGAGGAGCAGCATCATAATCTGAAGGCTGTGTTGTGACCATCGAATCAGCAAGGGGAGTTAGTTGGATGTTGTTAGTGGCAAATGAAATCCACCTAATTAACGTATCCAACTTCACTTTAGGGCAGTAGCTAGTCCATGGACTGATTAGTAGTGTCCCTGGTCGGGTCTTGCTGTCTTTTGGACAGTGCTCATGATTGCTGACAGTTTTTGCTTCTCTGGCCCTCATTTTTTCTCCTTGTGTGTTCTTTCTACGACCTATTCTTTTTATAAGAATCCTACCCATTGGATTTCAGACAGGTCTTTCTGCTTTATTCCAGAAACATTATTTTTCTTATAGTGACTTTTGCAACCATCTGATTTAATCTGCTATTATGTGTTGATTTTATTAATACAACTTTGATTTCTAGGAGTGCTTTATAGTACTACTCACAGTATTATTAATATAAAGCAGTCTTATAAAAATTATGTATTTGAGAATTCAGTTATCAATTGTTTGGCTTTTTAATAATGTATTTTAGATGTAGCTGGAATGCTGATCAAAAAGGTAATAACAAGCAGTCAATTTGTAAATAATATTTTTATTATAAAAATAGATTAATTTGGAAAGTCCAAAATTCTATAAAGAAGACAATTAAAATCCTTCCATGATCTTTTTTAACATTTTGCTGTATAGTCTTTCAGTTCGTTTCTTGTATATCTTTGCTGTGTCTCGCATAAAATTAGGACCATACAGCCTTCTAGTCTTGTCTTCTCAATGTATGATGAATTTTTTTTATGCCATTAAATGCTTTCTTTTAGAAGATTTTTAGTAGGTACTAGATTCAGACCTTGTTAATTCACCATAATTTGGATATTGGATACCACAGGTATCTTTCAGTTTTCAATATTTAAAAATAAAAATAACACCATGAGAAATATTCTCATAATCAAATTTTTGTACCAACCTAGATTATTTCTTTAGGATATAGTCCTGAAAAAGGAATGTACTTGGTCAAAGGGAGAGGGACTGATATTAGTAGTTTCGTTGGCAATGTGTCACCATGCCTATTTCACTTCATAGGTTTCATTACTGGGAATGTGTTATTTTTATATATTTGTCAATTTAATAGCAGAAAAATATTTAATTTTGTATTTAAATATTACAAATGTGATTAAGTGTGTTTTTCACATTGTGTTTGCTAATTAATGCGTGTGTATGTATGGATAATGCAGTAGTGTGGATACCCAAGGAGGGATGAGGACATTAACTTGTTCCGAGGACATTTGTCAGTTATCCTAAAATATAATTGGATGCATAATTCATAGAGAGAAAGAAGAAACCTTTTATCTTTTTAGGGGAGTCATTTATTTCTTTATTTGTTTACTCCTTAGCATAACTATATGAAGGAAGAAGGGGAGGGTTTTCCTGAAGATGAGGCGACTGAATCGGAAAAAAACCTTAAATTTGGTGAAAGAGTTGGATGCCTTTCCGAAAGTTCCTGAGAGCTATGTAGAGACTTCAGCCAGTGGTGGTACAGGTAAGTATCAGTTCAAATGAAAACTCCTTCACTAAGTGCAATTTTGAGTGATTGAGTTAACAACAATACAGAGATGTAGCCATGAGGAGGAATTCATCAGTGAATTGTGCAGTAAGTGTAATCGGTCTGTTTAATTGGTCTGTCTGTCCTCATGTCTCATTGTTTGCTCTGGTCTTATTTGTATTCTGTATGGTATCTAACCCAGTGCAACTGATACATTTAACAGTGTTTATTAAAACTTTACTGAATGAATTAATCCAGTTTTCCTGCCTTAGCACTCTTCAGTTATATATAATTACATTAACAAGAATTGAAGTTGGAAAAAGTTATTTAATGATGTTGAAACTGCCTTAGTCCTATGTTGGTTAAGAGTAAATCTGTTAAGACATTGTAATTCTTAATTTCACTTAACTGAAGAGAGGTAGCACTGGTGTAATGGGTAGATAAGAGCTTAGACTTTGAAACCAGACTCTCTGGATTCAGATCCACCTCTGCCCTTCCTAACTGTGTGAACTTGGGGAAGTTAATCTATCTAGCCTTAGTTTCTTCTCCCATGAAATCAATAATATTTACCATGTAGGGTTGCTTAATGATTAAATGAGTTAATATTAATAAAATATTTAGAGCAGCACCTGACACAGTTGTGTTTGTTAAAATAAATAGTAAAATATATGAGGAAAATATGAGACTATAACAATATTTACTATTATTACTTTCCCTTGAAGAGTTCATTAAATAACATATTTCACGTAGGAGTGACACTTCATTTGGTAAACTGTTAATAGTTACTTGCCGTTTGTAATCTCTTGTGATTAAGTTTTGTTAAGGAAAATAGTGCAAGTTTTTGTTGCACGATCCCTTTAAAGTTTCTTTTGTCATAGTAGATAGTTCTTCCCTTTTTAGCAGATCTTTTACTTGCTTTTGTAAAGTAGATGATGTATCTAGAAGATTGCAGATTAATTAGAGGAGATTTTTATTAGAGTCTTAGAGATATTATTTAACTTTCTGGTGCACAGATTATTGTGGCTTTTCAGGATTAAGAAATTAGGCTAGGTTGTTTTGTTTTTTTAATATGGATACATTTTTGATTATGAAGTCATTATTTTCTAAAATTTGGAAACCCTGCTGGTGTAATGGTTAAGAGTTCGGCTGCTAACCAAAAGGTCAGCAGTTCGAATCTGCCAGGAGCTCCTTGGAAACCCTCTGGGGCAGTTTTCCTCTGTCCTGTAGGGTCACTATGAGTCGGAATTGACTTGACGGATTTGGGTTTTTTTTTTTTTTTTTTTTTTTTTAACCATAAAATTTATGCTTTTATTTATCATGTCTGTGACATTACTTTATGTGAGAAAGTAAAACTTTGATGTCTTGTAATATTTTGGCAAATCTGTTTAGTGAGAGATGTCCTTAAAATTGAAGAAATAAAATACTTTCTCAACAGTACAAATGTTTCTGCTCATTAAATTTTCATTTTTGAGCCGTTTTAGAAAAAAATTCCTATAACAAACAATAAAAAAAAATCCTTTTATGCTATTCATTCAAATGGCAATCAGTGAGTCCATTTTTTTGCTAATTTAAATCTCACTTAAAATAGTTTCCGATTGTTTTAATTTTCTTTCTTTTTGATTTCTCAGTTTCTCTAATAGCATTTACCACTATGGCTTTATTAACCATAATGGAATTTTCAGTGTATCAGGATACATGGATGAAGTATGAGTATGAAGTAGACAAGGATTTTTCTAGGTAACTATTTTTTTCTTCTTGAAGTGTTTTTAGATTCCATTTGTTTTAAAGATAAAACCTTTTAAAAAAAACCTTTTTAAAAATGTCTTATTTTTTATACTTGATTTATTTTACTTTCGAAGTAGTCTTGAAAGTTACTCATTAATTGCATTTATTAGGTGAAAACTTTTAGAATCAAACATTTAAATACTAGTTAAATTCTAAAAGGAAGATTCTCTGATTTATTATGTGCTTGCTTGAGAAGGTTAGGAGAGCCATAATGTGATTTTTCTTAAATGTTCATTAAGAAGGAAATTGTTTAATGTTTTGAAATATTTTACTCCTTAGAGTTTGAAATAACCGTTTAAACTGGAAAATAAATTGTCTAAAGATACGCTGTATTACACTTATAACTTGGTTTCTATAAATTATATTTAATCTAAATTTTTATGTTAAGTAACATCACTTCTACACCTTTGAAAATATAGTAGCTTAATTAAGAGATAAAATATACTTTATATTTTTTTATTTGTCTTATTCAGATTTTTTAATTGATTGGAGATAACAGGTTTATAATATTAAGTTTACATTAGATAGGGAGACGTAGTTCTCAGTTCCAATCCTGGCTCTGCCATTTGCTAGCTGCATTACTTTAGGAAAGGTACTAAACCTATATGGGTGTGTGCTTCAGTTTCCTTTTCTGTAAAATGAGAAGAATAATTATAGTGCCTTTCTCATGGAGTTTATGAGAATTAACGAGTAAACATTTGTAAATTAATGTGTAAGCTTGACCAAGTCACACAGCTTACTTCTCTTGGACCTCAGTTTCTTCATCTGTAACATGAGTATTATTCTAGATACAATTCGTTTTCAAGGAGGTTATTGTTCTCATTTCATTTGTTTTTAGCAATAAGAAACACTTTGTTTCAAATGAAGTCTTATGTAATTCACTGCATAAGTATGGTGGCAATGCTCAGAAACCTCTCTGCTTGGCCTTTTCCTTTAGTATCTCCTGAGCCTAAACCCGAGGGCTTTTTGGAGCCATAGTTTTGAAACTCTAGACAGCTTTAAGACTCAAAGCCTAAAATTCCAATTAAAAGAAGATATATTATTAGAGTGAAAATAGTTTTGATAGAAGTATAGGACTGAATTTCATTATACCAGTTCTGTTATTCATAGTGCTTAGATCATATTGAAGAATTAATTCTGGTGTTTGAAAATTAATTTTATTTGAAGTAATCAATGGAAAATAAAACCATGGTTGTGGCTTTTTGAAAGGCCATGCAAAACTTTTAAGTATCAGATGAATTTTATCTGCAAGTTTGATTGCATTTATCCTTAGTCATACAGACTTAGTTCCCAGTGTGCCGCTTTAATGGTTATGTGATCTTAAGCCAGTCATTTATACCGGTCTGAGCCCCAGTGGCTTATTTGCAAAATTGTGAAGCTGTCTACTTTATAGGCCTGTGATAAGAATAAAGAAGATAATATTTGTAGGGCATCTAGCATAATGCCTGATGTATTTATTTGATGAATAGGTCTTGTAGTTCCTAATTCATGATTATGAAAGTTTTACATTCTTAAAGGAATATTCTATGTAAAGTTTATGTGAACAGAGGTTAAAACTTTTACTGAGTTACTTGGACTTAGGATCACCATAGGGTTTGATCATAGGGTTGTCATTATTAAAGAATACTGTGTTAAAACCTGTGAAATCAGAAGGCTTTTAGAATAATTGCAGAATAGAACTCTTACCTGTAATGTGTATTTGTTTTGGCCATAGCATATGCTATCTAAGTTTTAATCTGCATATTTTATAATGTTTGAAATCCAAGTTGTTCATAGATCAGTTGATTCATATTTCTTACGTTTTGTTGTTTACTTGGTAACTACTACTTTTTACCTCTGTCTTTCAGCAAATTGAGAATCAATATAGATATTACTGTTGCCATGAAGTGTCAGTGTAAGTATAGCTTCAACTTGATGAATCCATGTATAGTTCAAACAATCACCAATAAAAAGGAAAAACCACTGATTGTATTTTAACTTTATTTTCTTTTTATAGTACTTTAAAATTCTATTGTGGTGTTATTTAATAATACAAGTTGTTTTTCCTCTCCAACTGAAATTCTTTAAATTTCTTCTTTAAAAAGAGAATAAATGTAACCTTCATATTGGTACAATTAAAATATAAGAAAATCAAAGGAAAATTTTTGCAATCAGAGTTCTAGGTTAACTATATCCTTTGTTTTTTCTTGTTTGGAGTGCCAGTTTTTATACCCATATTCCATAAACATATCCTGTTTATCTGTTTCAGTTTGTCATCCTTTACTTTTACTCTGCGTATTAAAATAGAGATCCTAGTCTTTTGGTTTAATAGTGATGCATCATGCTTTTCTGTTTTCTTCACTGGCTTCACTTGATTATACTTATAGAAGTAGAAAAATGTTAATATGTCAGCTATAAAATGTCAGGATTGCTATCCAAAATGAGGTTGCTTTTGCATGAAAAATGTCTTTTAAGTTATTGCTTGTAAAGTAGAGATCAAGAATTGAATAGTTCAGAAAAAAAATTTTTAAGTGTAAAATAGTTTTACCCGATTAATGAGATTAGTTTCTGGGAAATACCGTCTTAGAACAGCCTTAAATCTTTTTTCCCCTTTCCTTTATTTTTCCCTTATTTTATGGTAGTGGTTTTAAGAGATAAAGACATATTTTATATCTGAACTTTTAGTTAGTGTTAATACTGAATATATCATATTTTGCCTTATTTTGGATGTTTGGATACCATTAGAAATTTTAGCCCTTCGAAGTAAACTGCCTATTTATTGTTTGTTTTTTTTTTTTTTTTTTTTTTTAAGGCATCAGTAGCTTTGCCTTAAGATACCTTTTAATCTCCAAGAATAATTCTTGTAATTAATACTTTGTGCAACAGCCATTTAGTATTTTTGATCAGTTCTTGCTGGTTTTTACAGAGCTCTTCAGTTCAGCTTGTGCTTTTTACCATGGTATTCTGGATCATAAGGAGCCCTGGTGGTACATTGGTTAAACGGTTGGCTGCTAACCAAAAGGTTGGTGGTTTGAACCCACCAGCGGCTCTGTGGGAGAAAAGACCTGGCAATTTGCTTCTTTAAAGATTACAGCCTAGGAAACCCTATGAGGCAGTTCTACTCCGTCATATAGTGTCGCAGTGAGTCAGAATTGACTCAGCAGCACACAACAACAACAACAACATTCTCGTCATCTTCTGTACTGAGCAAGAGGTGGAAGAACATTCTTAATTTTTAAAATAATCTCCACCTAAGCTGTACATAATCCTACTGTTTTAACTTTTGAACAAATAATCAGTATTGGAAGGTGATTCTACATACTTCGGGAATATTCTGTTTGTCATTTTAATTTGTTTATATCAGATATAGTTTGACTCTGAGCATAGAATGTGAATCTTCGAATTTCTTTTTTATGCAGATGTTGGAGCAGATGTATTGGACTTAGCAGAAACAATGGTTGCATCTGCAGATGGTCTAATTTATGAACCAGTAAGTTTGATTCACATGGTTTTAAATAGTATACTTTGAGGAATTGTTCCTTGAAGCTAGTTTGATATTTGCTTTTAGTTTTGACTGAGCTAGTTTTTATATGATTTCCTCTCTTATTTCAAAAGTAATTCATGTTCTTTATAAAAAATTGAGAAAAACAGATAAGCACACACACAAAAAAGTTATGTTTAATACTGAATGAAGCCTTCAGATAGGATTATGATTGTTAACATTTTGTATGAGATTCTGAAGTCCATTTTATAACCTTATTATATATATTTTGCTAATGCTTCCTAATAGTTTTCTTTTCTCTTTTCTTATAGTTGCTGTAGTGATGAGATTTTCTTCTTTACCTCTAGTGATTTGGAAACTCTGTGTCCTGTTTGTATTCTACTTTTACCAAATTTAAGTTTCTAAAAATATTTGAGCTGTAATTCTCTTATCATAATCAAGAGTGAAATAGTATCTAAGAGGAGAAATTTCATATGCGTTTACTTGTTTCTCCCTCCTTCACACCTTCATTTCCCAAAGTTTGTGAAATGCTACCATTTTCTTAATTTTGTTTTCATAGAACAAGGTCTGTATAACATAATTGATTTATTAGAAGACACCATTACATTATAGGGGCAGGAATTGATGATAAGTTATGATTTGAACTAGCCCTAAGTAAGTTTTTGAGAAGAAAGCATGGAATCCCCAGCTACTTCGTGTTGCCGATTGCTCAGTTGGCACTGTGGTACTTGTGTTTACACATGTATTCTTGAGTTGTTTATCAGTGAAAGTTGTGAACCCTTCTTTAGCAAAATTGCAAAATGAAGACTAAAGGGGATGGAGGAGCCTTAGAAGTAACTGAATATGTAGGGTTGCAGGATAGAAAGAAAGCCTTTAGGTTGGTTTTTGTCAGTTTTGATGACCTAATTTCAGTTTACAATTATAAGATAGATTTATGCCTTTTATTTATTTTTAATTAAGTTTTTGGTGAAAGTTTACACAGCAAATTAGGTTCCTATTTAACAATTTCTATACATATTATTGAGTGACATTGGTTATTTTTTCCACATTGTGTCAACATTCTCATTATTTCCATTCTGATTGTTCCACTTTCATTAATCCAGCTTCCCTG